CCCGGTGTAACTATTTTTTGAGCTGACCCCAATTTTTTGGCTGCAACACCCTCGCGGGGCCCGCCTTCTTTTCCGGGACACCAGGTCACCCTCCTTTGAATGGTCGAACTGAAGGCAACCAGTAGCTTAAAAGGGGGCCTTAAAATTGCCGGCTGGGATCCGGCCACGGACGTCCGTTCGCGGTCCAGGACCACGGCTACGATGAGATCGATTTGTCTCGGAATCAACTCACCGACGGTGCCGTGAGCCACATCTTGGAGATCTGCAAGAGGCGGCGGTCCCGGTGGCGGGGACTTCGCATGGGTGACCTCTAAAGGTGGCGCTGAGGCGGCGGGGTGTTCTCTGTTCGAGCACCCATGGTGAAATCGGTGAAATCTGTGGCAAATGTGGGAGGAAGTGAATCCCGCCATATGCATTTACCAACATTTCCATGTGGATATCTTTCCATCTGCGAAATGTTGGTAAATGACATGTCTTTTCCTGATTCACAGCCGTTTTTAGTTGCAGTGCCTTCTCAGAAGGTATGACTGGACCGGTACGACTGGACCCTCCAAATCTACATGCCTCAGTGTCGAACACATCACTTTACCGCAGAGGGCGCCGTCGTGGATCCCCAGGGTGGAATTGATCGGGACGAAGAGGAGCGCCCGGTGCTTTTCCAGTCCGAAAGCTTTGAAAACGTTCTTTCCGTTGGACACCCTAGTAGTCCTTGCTCCTAGTAGTAATGGCCACCCTAGTAGCTTCTTGTTACTAGTAGCAATGGCTTCCAACCTACTTGCGATGGTATCCACCCTAATTGGACACCCTATGGGAAAGGCTCCAGAACAAAAGAACAAGTCTACCCTAGTGGTGGCGATGGCTCAACATGAGGTTGCAGCTCAAATAAATTGATGAAAGTAGAATGATGTCCCCTATCCCTAAAAGAGGTGGTTTAGAAGTGCCACTGCTGCCTAGAAGTGACTGGAACTCTGTGTGACATGGAAAGGAACAGATTTGTGTCATGGACCTAGCCAGGAAGTATGTGGATCACCTGCAGATCACCTTTTTGGGAGAGATTTGGGAGGGACACCCCACTGAACACGAACCGATGGAAAAAGGATGAAAAAGGTTACACGAACCGACTCACTAACATGGAAACGGAAAACCACCTCTTTGTAGTGGAAAATGGTCTTCCATGTGATGTGTTCGTCCAGTGTAACCTTTATGTTCAAGTTGACTTCCGGCCAAACGGGAGTCAGATGTGATGGATTCGGAAACAAGACCACCAATGCGATCGGGGGGAAAACGAACCGGACCGGTCCTCTGTCGCCAGGTCTTCAGAGTTGAAGATCCTGAAGCTCTTCAATAACCAACTGGGCGATCAGGGCGCGGAAGAACTGGGGCAGCTCTTTCGCTTCTGCCACGGCATCGAGGAGGTCCACTTGAGCCACAACCACTTCACCGAGAAGGGGGTGGAGCCTTCGGCCGCAGGGCCGAAGCGGCGTGTTCCTTTTCGATCAGAAGCCGACGCAAGCTAGCATAGACAGACACTCCATGGGACTGCCATATATATGCCTACATTGACCCCCAAAACCACTCCAATGTAGGCATATATGGCACACATGGAGTGTCTGGGATAGACAGATCAGAACCTGACCTCATTTTACATGGAGTATAATATGAGTTGACCATTTTTAAAGATTACTGCAGTGAGGTCTTTTTGAAATCCAGCTTTTTGATAGGGGAGACACGCCACTGATGGGATGTGGTCGAATCTTTTTTTAAGGGGGTCGAACTGGGACGTCTCCCTATTTTTAATACACGCCCATTTGCAGAATACAGACAGTGTAGGAATATGCCGCTGCCTTGTTCCACTGGGGTGTCTTTGTATGCTGACAGGTGTCACAGGTACACGGTTCTTGATGGAAGGCAGCTATTTTGTTTCAGGTAAAGGTAGAAGACGGAGACGTATCTTTCACAGAATCGACGATTGCGCGACGCCCGATAGGCCCCTAGCAGCTTTGACTGGAGCAACCTTTGTATGAAAAAGTAGTGCCGTATAGGCTAGGTCCAAACATAACACTATTTCTGGAGCTGTCATGCAGAAAAATAAATGCCATGTGACATGCCTCTTGACCTGCACCTTGCACAACAGGACACAATGAGGGTGCAGAATAAACCCTATAGACGCACCTACACAGCACACTCTCCGTCGATCAACTTTTGGCATTTTCTAACGTTTGATGAAGGGATCACTTTTGGATACGCTGCAACTCGCAACATTTGGCAGGAAATTTACGGGAGTACGGCGGAAACTTGCAGACAGGCCATTTGCAGCATATTGGACGACACCTCACAAAAGCACTTTAACTTGACCAGGCTGTTTCTTGAAGGCCAACCCTCGGCAGACACCTGACAAACACATGGAGTCCCATGCAGTGGTACTTGTGGTCCAGGTTTGCCTCTCCCGGAACGCCTCCATCACTGCATATGATGTATGCCTAGAACCCATGTGACCTTTGTTTTGATAGGAAAAGACCATGTTCTGGCTCCAAAACAGGGGTCAATCAGGTTCTAGGTGCATAATATGTTGTATGTTTCCCCAAACATAGCATTTCTGGTCCATGGCACTGTTTCCTGTACTTGAAGATATCGCACCATTTTGGGGGGAATCGTGTTTGAACCCGCAGCTGCGCTGACAAAGCAACAGCGAGTATTACAAGCTGTGTTGATGGAAGAACTTCGCCCCACCTGACAAAGGCAAAACGCTGCGAGACTCTGGTTTTCATAGGCTTTTAGCTGAAGATTAATTACTATACGCAGCATCAACATAACTATATCCCGTAGTGCTTGTCATCTGGCCATGTTTAGAGAAACTGACATCACCGGTCCCATGCAAGCGTCCCCATGTTTTTTCTCCCAGGAAAGCATGGTGAAGGCTGCCAATCGGGAACTGCCTCGCTCGGCCGAGCGGCCCCTCTGGTTACGCATGGAGCACAACAAGGTGGAGCACACCGAACACCTGGCCCGCGACATGGAACGCCATTATCCGGCCGTGTGCGCGCGTGAGGATCGGCACCGGTGTACCCCGCGAGCTTGCGCCCATGGGAGACGGATCCATTTGCCCTTCCTCATCGAAGTCCCCAAGGGTCACAGCAAAGGCGACGGCAAGGGCCGTGGACCCCGCCGAGACCACCGCGACCACCGCGACCACGGCCGCGAGCCGCGCGACCACCGCGACCGCTCCCTCCGCCG